AATTTAGTATGGAAATGCCATAATTATGTAAAGAAAACAGGACTTATTCAAAGGTTATTAAAAGATTATATAATTATTGATCATTTCATTGAAATTAATCAAATTTAGTATGGAAATGCCATAATTATGTAAAGAAAACAGGTCTTATTCAAAGGTTACTCAAATGATTATATAATTATTCATAATTTCATTGAAATTAATCATGATTAATTTCAATGAAATTATGAATAATTATATAATCTTTTAAAAACCTTTGATTAAGTCCTGTTTTCTTTACATAATTATGGTATTTCCATACTTAATTTGATTAATTTCAATGAAATTATCAATAATTATATAATCATTTGAATAACCTTTGAATAAGTTCTGTTTTCTTTACATAATTATGGAATTTCCATTCTAAATGTGATTAATTTCAATGAAATTATCAATAATTATATAATCTTTTAATAACCTTTGATTAAGTCCTATTTTCTTTACATAATTATGGCATTTCCATAGTAAATTTGATTAATTTCAATGAAATTATCAATAATTATATAATCTTTTGATTAGATTTGATTAATTTCTGTTTTCTTTAAACAATTATCGAAATTCTTTACTAAATTTGTTTAAAATCAATGAAATGATCAAAAATTATGTAATCTTTTTATTAACTTTGATGAAGTTCTGTTTTCTGTACAAAATTTGATTAAATATCAATAATTATGTAATTTTTAGATTAATTTTGATTAATTTCTGTTTTCTTTACACAATTATCGAATTTCTCTACAAAATTTATTTAAAATCAATGAAATGATCAAAAATTATGTAATCTTTTGATTAACTTTGATTAAGTCTTGTTTTCTTCACATAATACTCAAATTTCTTTACTAAATTTGATTAAATTCAATAAAACTATTAAAAATTATATAATTTTTCAATTACCTTTGATTAATTTCTCTTTTCTTCACATAATTCTCAAATTTCTTTATTAAATTTGATTAAATTCAATAAAATGATCAATAATTATGTAATTTTTCGATTAACTTTAATTAAGCTAAAAAGATTTATGCTTTCCTATTGATTCTTCGCCTCAAAAACGTCGGTAATATTTCCACATGCTACATTTTTAATGCGAAAATCAATAGGGTAAACAATTTTATTTAAAACTTTTTTCCTCTCAGAACCTTCCTTTATTATTATTACACGCTTTTTTTTCTTCTTTATATTAAAAACGCTCGTATGTGCGTACACTTCATCATTCGCTTAAGAAAACACAATTCCTCCTACATAAACAGTTTGCTTTTTTCAATAACTTTACACTGTAAATTATATTTTCATTGTTGTTGTTGAAGAGATGCGAATAACAATTTTTCTAATTTTTTTTCTACATACCTTTTCGATAACAGAACGGATCCGTCCGCGTAAATCCTCAGTAAAATATTGGGCCTGGTGGTGTCATGGGCGTAAGCTTTGTACTCGTTAAAAAATAAATCCGGTGTCCATATATATTCATCGTCGTCCAGAGTGATGTATTTCAGTGCATTGGACGTCGCATATTTCAATCGGTCGTCCTTCCATTCTTGCCGAAATCTGATGTCCATGCTGAATAACTGGACAACGAACAACAGGGACGGTCAATGAAATGCATCAACATTTCAATCATTCGCGGAATAAGGATGAAAGCCGCTTCAATTCAATTGATATCCTATTTGTATGCAATTTTGGATATAAATGTTCATAGAAACTTAATCAATTCATTAGTGTATGGAAAAAAGAACATTAGTTTTCATGTCTTCTAGAAATTTAACATATATTTAATTCATCGAACAAAGAATAACATAAGCTTGTTTTAAATCCATTTTCTTATGCTTTCATTAATTCTGTTCTCTTCACTTAATTATCAGATTTAATCATCGTTGTAACAAATATATTAAAAAAAAAACTACAATTTATGTACAAAATTTGATTAAATATTAATAATTATGTAATGTTTCGATTAAGTTTCTTTACATAATTCTCGAATTTCTTTGCTAAAATTGATGAAATTACCAAAAAATATATAATTTTCTATTAAATTTTATTAAATTGTCTTCTCTTTACATAATTACTAAAAAATATGTAATTTTCTATTAAATTTCATTAAATTGTCTTCTCATATAAAAATAGCAATTATTATATAATTTTTCTATTCCCTTTGATTAAATTATATTTTCTTTATATAATTCTCAAATTTCTTTTCTAAATTTGATGAAATTCAATAAAATAAACTTGCATTAAGTCCATTTTCTTATGCTTTCATTAATTCTGTTTTCTTCACATAATTATCAGATTTAATCATCATTGTAACAAATAATTTAAAAAAAAACTACAATTTATGTACAAAATTTGATTTCATTAATAATTATGTAATTTTTCGATTAAGTTCTGTTTTCTTTACATAATTCTCTAATTTCTTTACTAAATTTGATGAAATTCAATGAAATTACCAAAAAATATGTAATTTTCTATTAATTTTAATAAATTGTCTTCTCTTTACATAATTCTGGAATATCTATACTAAATTTGATTAAATTCAATGAAAATATCAATTATTATGTAATTTTTCATTTCCCTTTGATTAAATTCTGTTTTCTTTATACAATTCTCGAATTTCTTTTCTAAATGTAATTTTCTATTCACTTTCATTAAATTGTCTTTTCTTTATACAATTCTCGAATTTCTTTTCAAAATTTGATGAAATTTAATGAAATTACCAAAAAATGTAATTTTCTATTCACTTTCATTAAATTGTCTTCTCTTTACATAATTATGGAATTTCTATACTAAATTTGATTAAATTCAATGAAAATATCAAGTATTATGTAATTTTTTGATTAACTTTGTTTAAATTCTGTTTTTTTATATAATTCTCGAATTTCTTTACTAAATTTGTTGAAATTCA